AAGCACACACAAACACATGTGCACAAATGCACCCTGAACACGTTAGTTTTTCAATATGAGAACCCTTTAAAGTCTGATGATGGAGGTACCTATCTCAGAAAAATTTCACACTGTGAAGTTTTGCAGCTTCCTGAGCAGTTTCATAGTTGATTTAATCAGAAGTTAGGTACTATTGTAAAAGACGTGGTCCTTCATGAGCCTCTTCATGTCCTGATTAGGTGCAGAGGGCCATAGAGACCTTAGTATGTGCATAAGGGAGAAGGAAAAGCACAAAGGGTTTGGGTGTGCTATCACAGACACTTAAAAATCACAAACTTGCAGCTGAAAAAGCTGGGACTTGAGGTGACTCTACATGTTATTTTGCAAGCTCTGTGATGTTATCAGTAGGGATACACTATTTGCCATCCTATTTCTGTCTGTGCTCTGAGTTGCTTGAATGTAGTTCCTTTACCCACCCTAAAAAATGGCAGACACTTTGTTTATTCCTGCTGATAACTGTTTAGGAGAACTGACAAAAGAGTCCATGGGAGGTTAAAACACTGGCACAATATACAGGATTAAACTGCAACAGTGGAACAGATTTATTTTCCCACATGGTCCTTGTCCCACTGGGACACCTTGTATGAAAATAATCTTCTGTTAATCAAAAGCTCTGGGTTCAACCTGATTAAGTTGCCTGGTGATAAAAATAAACACAGTTTATAGGAGGTCTTGCAAAAATTCTGTGTAGATTGAAGCTGCTTAATTCTTCACTGCTTCTGCCAAAAAAAAGGGGCAGCTTTTGCTCATAGTTACATGGCATGAGCACCCATGCCTTAGATCATCTAGTAAAGATGATAATTTAAAAAAATTTTAGTAGAATTGCTTGTATTTAGCAACTTCAGTATTACAACATATCAGTAAAAACAACCCCATAGTGTTTTGCCCCAGATATATTAGTGCAACAATTTATTTCCAATACTTGTTTTTTAGTTCGCAAATACTTAGTACACAACTGGTGCAACTTTATTTCTACCTCCTGTTACTATACAATGAAGAACAAAAGTATTGTAATATTTAATAGCCTATCACAAGACGTGCAAAAAGGAAAAACTTACTGTGTATATGAATGATCTAATATTCCTTCTGCTAAAAACAGTCCCACGCATTTTGGTAGCAAAGACAGCAGCCCTGAATGGGAGACTCAGTGCTACACAGTGCATGTTTCTGAAAGAAAGTAACCAACTGCACAAGAAAGTGTAAAAGACCACATGACTGTCATATGAATACCCTTACACAATATTAATCCAGTTTCTTTGTGTTACGACTTGCCAGTGCTTTTATTTTACCAAGTTACTCCTATGTGGAGTACTCAGCAAGAATGAGAGTTACAAAAATATACTTTAAAACTGTCTCAAATGCCTTGCAGGCTTGTGGAGAACACACTGTGAGTGGATTCTGCTATTTGCTCTGAATACCACTCACTTCAGAAGGCCTGTCTGCATGGATTTTCCTTCAGAGTAAGTACCTTAATAAGGAGAACAATTAAAACAGGACAAAAATGCTTACAGAGGCAGCAAAAGATTAAAAATTTGGTACATCTCTGGGAAGGTGAAAACACAGCTGACTTCATGACAAGACTGACTTAATTTTGTTGGCATGTCAGCCACATGGAATTTCTACAGACAAGGTTTTTAATAGCGTTCTCACTGCTGGAGTGGGAACACCACAGAGAGCTCAGTGCTGCTCTTGCTGAAGTTATTGTCAATACCCTAAATGCATGCATACAATATCGTCTGCTACAAAGTTTTTGAGTGGTGAAAACTTAATTAGACTGTGCTGGACATTGTCATAGTAAAGGTAACCCTTGCAGTCTGTAAGGCTGCCTGAAACACAGTCTTCATATTTCTCACAGCAAAGCTGAATATCCTTTGATTAAAGAAAAGTTAACAAAAGAACTTTCAAAGTATTAATATGTCTGTTTTTTAATTACCACTGGAGGCACTAAGAAAAATAAAACAACTAGGATGATAAAGGCACTGGAGCATCTCTCCTATGAGGAAAGGCTGAGAGTGTTGGGACTGTTCAGCCTATAAAACACTCAGGGAGGATCTCGTTAATATATATAAATACCTGAAGTGAGGGTGCAAAGAGGATGGAACCAGGCTCTGTCAGTGGTGTCCAGTGACAGGACCAGAGGCAATGAGCACAAACTGAAACAGGAGGGGTTCCCTGTGAACATCAGGAAACGTTTTTTCACTGTGAGTGTGACCAAGCACTGGAACAGGCTGCCCAGGGAGCTTGTGGAGTCTCCATCTTTGGAGATATTAAAAACTCATCTGGGCATGGTCCTGGGCAACTGGCTGTAGATGCCCCAGCTTGGGCAGGGGAGTTGGACCAGATGGCCTCCAGAGGTTCCTGCCAACCTCAACCATTCTGTGATTCTGTGAACTATAAATTATTACAGTGGAGAAAACTATGTGATACTCCCACCATCACACAGATTTCTCCCTAAAACAAGCAAGTGAACACTGCTTCCAAAATAAAAATAGCCTTCCATGAAGACAGTCTGAGGTGACCACAAAACACATAGGAAGAACTGCAGAAGAAACAGGGGCCATCATATGAAAGATCTTCTGACTGAAAAGTTGGGTGTGAGAAACTATGGCAGGAGTGGTAAAGGTTTAAAAGTTATCATTTGAACTTATGTGACAGTTTATGTCTGTAGCAACTTATGTAGGCTTTGGAAAAAAAAACAAACCCACATCTAAACTAATCAGAGATGCACTAGCAGATGGAGTGCAGCTTTTCTTCACATCCTTTTTTACCTAGTCTGGTTGTTTTGTGAAGAACTCTTCCTCCCCCCCATCCTTAGGCAAGGATCTGGAAAAGTTATCCAGATCCAGAATGTCTATCTGTTTATGCAGATGCTTTATTACAATGTGCCTGAGCTACAACTTATAAGTCATACACCGTCTGTAAAAACATCCCGTTATCCTGTTTCTTGGCTTACTCCACCCAAGAAATGAGCACAGGTGATAAAGGGCCATGAAGCTTAAAAAAAAAAATTGGGGAAAAAAAAAAAAAGAATAGAAATCAGACAGGGTTGCTCCTACTGAAACAATTCCCAGTTCCTCTGGTCTATCTGTTGTTTGCCATGGGAGCGAAAGCAAAACAAGAACAGCATTTATGAATTGGTTTCCCAAAAACAACTCCCCCGGTTTTCTGCCAGCAGGATGATTATGGGTCTGTATATGCTGTGTAACACTAACGCTGGACAGTCAATCTGCATTCATGCAAAAATTTCAACATTTCAGGGAAGTGCCAGACCTACGTCTCACAGTGGCTGTGCTGTGCAAGCAGGGTACTCTAGCCTGTACAGCTATGTGACTCAAGTCTGAGGCTCACCCTGCCGGAAAATTCATGCACTGCAAATACAGTGCCACGAGACAGCTGTTCCCATCGTGCAGTCTTTTTCTGACAGCTGCCAAACGCACAGACAGGTATTCGTTAACAGGAGATTCGGGGACCTTCCAAGAAATTGATTAGGTGTTTTCAGGAGAAGCAAAATATTTTGCTGGGCTTAAGCTAAAACGTATTTCTGAGTCTTAGGACTGATACCCTGAATAAAGTGTAAGACTCGTACTGGAAGTTTCATGGATTAAATCCTGATTTCAGTACAGCTAACCTTGCAATGAACCTTGACTGGAAAGAACAAGTTGTACTATTCTAGCCACAGGAAGCCAAAGGCTTTTCTGAGTACTTTTGCTATATCAATTACCAAACAGAGATGAATCTAAATGCGAAATGCTGCATCTGCCATTTATGGCCCAGACAACTCAAAAGCCAGATATGTAGGTGTCTTCTTTATGAATTATTATTCTCACTTCCTGGAGTTCTTCAGCATTACTTAAGTCTCATTTTAATTAAGCCATGGCTAACCTGTGATCTTTCAGCTTCATAAAGATTCATACCTTCCAAGGGAGTGGCCATAAACTCATTTTCAAGTCAGTGGGGAGACACAAATTTCATCATCTAAAATAGACAAGAACTTCTTGTTACCTAGAAGAACCGTGTCTCTTCTCTGAACCCAGGAAATTATCTTCTAATGTTGACATTACAAGAGAGGTGTCTTGAGTTGAGAGATGTGAATCCAGCAATGGTGTCTTCTGCAAATATCCCACATGCTTCTCAGGCAACTGCTCTGCCAGGGAAGAGGAAAAAGATTAAGGAAGAGAAACCAATGTCTGTGGCACTACTTATGAGAACTGTTGGTAGAGAAATGAAATGCTAAGTTATGATTGCTTTCCAATAGAACTCTTCCAATTTATCTGCTTACATAAAGGCAGAGATACCCTGGTAAAACCTGTAGTCAGTGGTATTTGGAACAGTGAAGAGATTTAAATAAAACCACCAGTAAAAAAAAACAATAGATTTCTAACTTTGAGGGCTTGACATATTTCCAGTTCCATTCCCACATGGTGAGTCCTCATAAGTGGAAAACTCAATGCAGGCAGGTCAGAATCAAATAGCCATTACTTAAACTGTACTCTTCTCACTCCCACTACAGGGGAGACTTTGTATTTCTGCTTCAGGCTACAGCAATGGCCAGATAAACTAACAGTTCAGCATTTTCCAACCAGCACTCTTCTGATGAAGATGACACAGGATGACCTTCATAAACATCCCTAATAGCTTCAAAATCTCAGAATGCACAGGTGGCTATAACATGAAAGAGATCGTGCTGACCTCAAAGTGGCTGAAAGATCATAGGTTCTGGAGAAGTTCCGCTCAAAGAAAGTATGCTTGAAATGCCCTCAAATTTTGGACAACCTCAACTCTGCAAGGGAGTGGAGACTGAGTTATCTGGATCAAATTTGCCATGTAAAGCTTTTTTTTTTTTTTTTTTT